AGTTTCGGGGAATCGGAGGTCAAACAAGCTCAAACGGAGTTTAGGAGTGCATGCTGGAAAATGTGCATGACCATGCAAGGTTTCCAGAGAGTTTTCACGACCATGAGCGCAATTTACATGGCTGTGCAAGTAGGGGGTGCAAATTTCAGCTCGGATATAATGGCTGTTTTGCGATTTTTGGAGAGGGAAAGCTGGGTTTTGGACCCCAAACACCCAAGGGACGAACCAAAGAGGGGGAGAGCGATCTAGAGCCATTCTTGGAGCTATTTTGGAGGATTTCTTTGCCTTGGAAGCTCGAGGAGCAAGCCTAAACAGAGTAACTTTCCTTCACTTAGATTTTGAGAAACCCTAGTTCCATGTGTTAGGATCAGTGTTATCAAAACCGAACCGGCCATCGTTCCGGATTAATAAAAGGTTTAAGATTTATCGAATAACCGGTAGTTAACCGGTATTAGAAATCGATGTTGGCCTATAATATCTCCACTCTAGTCTCAACAAATAAGGAAGAATAGAGTGAATTAATAAATTCAAAACTGTAAAGGTAGAAGGTTGGGGACTATTAGTGCTAGGATACGACAAGAAATGGGGATGGGAATTAAATTATGTTTCCTTTCTCTCTTATTTTTAATGTAAGTTTTCCTTTTCACGTTGCCTTCTTCTTTGTTCCAAAATTTTAATTGCAAGGAACATAAAAGGCAGGCGCCCAATGTTTTTGGAAGGTGCGCTTTTATCCAGCGATAAAACGACCGTTTTTTCACTTCCGGGACCGGATGAGAGGTCGTGTCTGGGTTTTTCCGGTCTGATCGGCCGGTCCGGACCGGGTTTCATAACAATGGTTATGATCTTTCTTGTAAGAACCTTTAGATGTTATACTGATTGGTTTTGTTCAATGGAGGCATGATTATTTGATTCAATTGGGTCTTGATCACATTCTCTTTTCTGATTTAACTTAGGATAGATAGAATCTGATTGGGTTAAGAGAACTCTTCAATTGGAAGTAGTCAATCGGTTGTGCGAGTCAATCGATTAACTGCTCTGTACTGGGATTCATTCTAGGAGTGGAGATCTTTGTGCATTGCCTTAGCATTTTAAGAGATTCCAAACTATTATCGGACATGGTCAGTTTAAGAGGATTTGGTCAGTTTAAGAGATTCCAAACTATTATCGGATCTTCCACGGTATAATCATCATTAAAACAACTAAGGGGAATTACAACTTGGACCTCATTGATGATCTAGGAGGAATCATACCTAAGTGAGTTTCGAACTTGTAATTAGATTAACTTTAACTATAGTTTGCTAGAGTAGTTATAGTTCTTCTATCTTAATTTGGTTTGCTAGACAATGAACTGAAGCTGAGTAATAGTAACTCTAACGACCTGTGGATTTGATATTTATTACTTGTGCGACTATATTGCGGCCCCTTTCATTGATTACACTTGACCATTGTAAGGAGTTATGTTTTAACAAGTCATGTTCCCTAATGATGTGGTGTTGGAATAGTTTTTTTTATGAGGGTGGTGTTGGAATATATTTACTAGCCTCATGGAGACTACAATAGCAAATTAGATTTCTTCCTGGCTGGGAATAGAGAGATGAGATCCACAAACTCTCACTAGGCCCGATGATGAGCAGCTCGCGTCAGGAAGCTACTCTCAAGCACCAGGTGTGGCGGGTTACCAGAGCTATTCGAAAAAAAAATTTTGCTCGACCTCCTAGCTTGTTCGTGGTGGAGCAATTGTTCAGAGTAATCCTCTAGATGTAATCGTGTCGCTTATCATGATATTATGGAGGTTTTAAGGTATAGTTAGTAAATATTTTGTTTAAAACGTACATATATTGGAGTTGTGAATAGAAGAACAAATGAAATGGTATATATTTAGAATTCCAAAAAAGTTATAAAAAAAATAGTGCTCCATGAAGGGGTCGAATTGTTGAGAGTAATCCTCTAGTTGTAATCAACAACTTATTGAAGTTGCGAATAGGGCATCACATGAAATGACATATCTTAGAATTCCGAAATTTTTTTAAAAATAACGCAATAGGAAGGGGTCGAATTGTTGACAGTAATTCTCTATTTGTAATCAACAACTTTGTTATTGCTTATCATAATATTTGTGGAGGTTTTTGTTGTGAATAGGGCATCACGTAAGATAACATGATTAGTCATACTTTTAAAACAATTCCCAAAAATTATAAAAAAAAATATCGTGGGAGGAGGAGTTGAACCATCGACTTTATGCTTAGGAAACCTACACTCTATCCACCAAGCCTATTAGCTCGACGGTCGGCCTGGTTTGACCTGGCCTCGTCCACTAAAACAGGCGCCACAATATAGTAATGCTTCAACCCGAACCTAGTCAGAGCTGTCCAAACTCGGTCAGAACTCTGTAGGCCCAGACGGTTTGCCCGAGATACCAGGTCAGCGGGCTTTGCCTTGCAGCAACGAAAGTCTAGCACCAACTCGGGCCAACCAAGCTAAACTCAAAAAGGCTAGATAACTAGGTCAACGAGCCCAATCAGACCAGAAGGCTCACCAAACAAAGCGCACTATCATCTTGGACTTTAACAACCCAAAACTCGGATGTTACCACTAATATATTAGGTGAATGAATATAGGTGCTTTATTCATTTTTCGATGTGGTAGAAAAAGAGACTAATGTACTGCCCTTCTTCCACACATCACTGCTAGCATCGCCGAATACAAAACCCTCTATTAAAAGGGTTGACGAATGAACACTACAATTGCTCTTCATTAGTTAAAAACTGGATATTAGAGATGTGATGTTCATTTATGCTAGCTGTTGCAACCCAATTAATTTGTTGGATTTGAAAATGAGGGTTTTGATTTTTAAAAACTTTTGGATTTATGATAGATTTGAAAGAGTGTGTTGTTTGTTTAGTTAATTTTTATCATGGATTTATAATGAATTTGTTTCAAATTTTTGCCTTCCATATCAAATCCTAAACGAACCGTGGGATTTGCAAATCAGTGGGCCCCACGGATTTGTGTCCATCAACAAACAATGGATTTGTGTCAATTCTATGATACTTGGGATTTAGGTGCCACCATCACCCAAATCCCACAAGCAAAAAATATTTAAATTTTGAATTTCCCATAATAATCCATTTATAGCAACATCATAGTTTTCTCCCGATAAGCACCATATGAAGAATTAATAGTTCTACAATAATTCATGGCAGCGAGGCGTGGCAACCAAATCAACACCATCAAACAATGCCTTGACGACTTCTGCTCCAGTTCCAGACAACGATTAACTTGGAGAAATCTGCCATGTTTGTCTCCCCAAACATCCAAAGATCCAAGGCCCAACTTGTTGGGAACAAGGCGGGGATTCGGCTAACTACAGACTTAGGAAAATACTTGGGGCATAACACCATCAATGATCGAATCTCAAAATAAAGATATGCTTACATGTCCCTCAGAATTCATGAGAGAAGCTTGCCCTCTAGAAAGTGTGCTTTCTATCGTTGGCGGCGTGAATCACCCTGGTGAGATCTATAGTCGCTTCTATCGCTATCTATCCCATGCTTACATAACTACTTCTAGCATCTGTTTGTCGTGAATTAAATAAAGCCCAAAGATAATTTTTCTGGGGTGAGGAAGATGGCAAAAGACGATATCACTCACTAGCCTGGGAGGAGATGGTCAAGTCAAAAAAATTGCGGAGGCATGGGCATTCGCTCCACCAGAAGAGTTAACAAAGCCATGATGGCCAAAGGGAGCTGAAAGCTAGCTACGGATGAAAAATTCTTATGGATCCAAGTAATGAAGGCAAAATACGGGAGATGCAGAAGCGATCTACAAATTCTGAAACCAATACAGGGAAGTTCTTTCGCCTTGCAGAGTTTCAATAAAACTACCGCTATTTTGCGCAATGGTTGTGCTATGAATGTCTGTAACGGGCGGAGCGCTAACCTCTTATTAAAGCTGCGATCACTCTGGTCCACGTGGATCTTCAATGCAAGAAGGTTGAAGGCATGTGGGATGTTTACACGAGATGGAAGTTCTAGGATTTCGAACAATTTCTCCCTACGGAGGTTGTTTCCAGAATCAGAGGGATTCTCCTAGACCCGCTAACACAAGATCCAGACTCCTTAAGTTGGAAACACGAGTGTTATCAAACCCAGACCGGCCCGACCGACCAGACCAGAGAAAATCGGACCTGTCCAATGATCCGGTCACGGAAGCCACAAAACGAGGAGAAAGTTGGCCTGTCGGATTTGTAGTGGTTAACCGCCCAACCTGTTGAACCCGAACCAGCGGTTTTGGCGGATGATGAATCAAAAATAAAAATGAAAAAAAATCGCAGATCTTGAGAGCTCCTATTACTATTTCTCCTCAACCACCAGTGTTTTTCTCGTTGTGCTATTAGTCTCATTTCTCATCTCAACTGCCATTGCCTTCTATCATTTGTTCTCATAAAAAGTAAGGAGAATAAATATGCAACTATAGGTTCTTCTGTGCATAGAGAAATAGAGATTGCAATTCAAAAATAGAAAGGAATCAGAGAGAATGAGACAAAGGAAAATGGAGAAAGAGAAAGACAGAGAGTGAGAAAAGATAAGTGAGAGAGATGGTTTTTTAGGATTCCATTTTGAAAATAGAGAAAAAGAGAGAAGGATGAGAGATAATAAGTAACGAAAAAATTGGAAAATAAATGATGGGGAGGAAATTTTTCTGAGAAAAGATTTTTTTGGGGACATGTTGGATGAGGAAGATTTTTTTTTTTTTGTGTTTTTTATTTTATTGATGTCAAAATATTAAAAGAATTAATTTTTTTTTAATTTTTAATTGGCACGTCAGACATTTAATGGTCAATTGTTAAGATTAAGTGATTAACTATTTTATCAGATAAAGTTAACAGAGAATGATTAAACATGGACTATTTTACTAATTCGAGTGACCAAAATTAATATTAATTTTTTCAATAATTAAACATAACACGATTTAATAACTGACCAAACTTGGCATTTACCCATCGCTTTGTCATTTGAAATTTTAACAAGCAGCAGCGGCAGAAGTCGGAGGTTGCAGAAGTAGAAGTCCAAAACGAAGGAAGAAATGGAAGAAGTGATTTATGCGTTTGGGAAAAGCTTAGGCTCTTTCTGCAATAGTCTGCAAGCAAGCTGCGATGGTCTCAAGCAGTCAATCGAACGCCGCCCTGTTCCTCTCGGTCCGGTGACTTGTCTCTTCTTCTTCTTCTTCTTCCATTTCCATGTTTTTTTTCTTCGTTCTTTTACTTGGTCGCCAAACTGACGATTTCGCATTTTTGTTCATCCGGTTTTGGTACAGACCCGGCGTCGACTACTTTCATTCGGAACTTGAACCGCCGGTTATCTGCCGCCGGCAGAGATCTGAACCAACTGGAGTCGATGTCCTTCGGCACCGTCTCCTTCGAGGAGCTGCTAGGTCACTGCAACGAAGTTTACAAGAAGAATCAGAGCGATGTCCTCGAAATTGAAGATCAACTCCGGAGCTACGGCTACGTCCCCGGTACTTCCGACTTCCCAAACTTCTGACATTCTGAATTATGAATCGAATTGAGCTCCGGCCGCCAACGATCTGTTCTGAGTTCCGTATTTCATGTTAAACAGAACGATTAAGAATTCTCCTGAATGTCACGTCGTTTATGTCTTCAGTATACTTATTATTTGTGTGATTCTTTGTTGGAAGTAGAAGTTGAGAATGATGATGACGACCAAGATCGAGCTCTTGAGTCTGAACTTAACGATGATGGACCATTCAACTCTTCTTCTCCTGATCTGGAGCCTGGAAAGAACGCAGTCGTCAAGATTTTAGATGAGGAAGATCCACTGTATCCTAACTACCAAATGTCGATACATATTATAATGTTTAGCTCTACTCATTTGGTCGCAGTAGAAAGCAAGTATTTCAAGACATCTATAGATATGACTGTTGTTATCTTTCTAGGGTTTGAAGAATCATAATCTAGTATCTTTCAATTCAATGGAAATGGCATATTGCAGCGCTGTTGTTGCCCTCTCTTCAATGCTGTTCTTGGAGACTAGGCTACTTATTTTTTGGGAGGCTAAGCATGCAATGATCGTGATAAATTCAACCAACAGGATGATTAAAGTTTTATTCCTTGACCTCCCTTTAGTATGGATGAATCACTGAGTCTGAAGAGTTTTGGACTTTCAGACGTTTGCCTTGCCAGCTTAACATCTGGAGGTGAGTAGTAGCACTGCTTCGTTTCGTAAGAACTTTGCCCTTAATGTTTCTGCTGATTGGATTTGAAAACTTTATTGATGCTGGTTCACTTAAAGTTTTGAGAATCTCTGTTGATTAGTTTGAAGTTTTCTGGTGATATTATGAAATGTTTCGGTTTCTTCCAGTTACGAGGTTGTTTTATTATCTCTCTGCAGGTAATCATGGACTTAGCCGTCCACATATATCGGTGGTAGAGCCACAGAGGTAAGTTACTTAACCTCAGGAATGAGCTTGTGTGTCGTGCGGGATAATTAGTTCCTAACCAATACTTTTTCTACATGTTTTCCTATTGAGGTACGATGGTGACTCCAATGGTACCATCCAAACTGCCTCAAAGACCTCAGTAGCTATTGAAGGTAGAAAGCAGCTGGCTAGTAAGTGGGGTTTCCTAACTTTCTTTCAAGAGCAGCACATGTCATAGTTTGCGTTTATCTGAAATGTAGACGAGAAAGACAGCAAAAGGAAACCAGATGATGCTCCCAAAAGGGTGATAGAGCTATCTAAGGACAGCTACGAAGGTCTTCCTTCTTACATGAAAAACTTAACACCATGGGAGGTAGGCAATGCTCCAAGTCCTTAACAGCTATTTCTTTGATCCGCCATCACATCGCATGCCACCCCAGGCTTGCGAAACAGCTTGCTGAAAATGAACGCACATTGCAGGACTTGGTCTCTGCTGTTGAGAAGATAAACTTAAGCATGAGTAAGAAGGAAGGAGTAGAGTATTTCCTGCAGGAGGAGGTCGACTCGTTGGGTTTAGGTATGCCTGCCATCTGCTGCATGCAAATGACATGAGATTAGCATATGCCTATTACATAGACTTGATCGTTGCTACCTTCTTACTGTGTATGCAGGTCCTAAATCCAGAACCTATATCCTGCTGCTCATTCGCATGAAACATCTGGTCGTTGAGACAACTAATGGTTCAATATCCTACCGAACATTATAAAAGTCTGGACTCTTGATGTTTGCATCTTTCGGTCTTATTTACCTCATCTTGTTGCTCTGTGTTGTTTATCTAAATTAAGAGGTTTCCTGGAGAAGTGCCATTACTTTGCTCTATTACTACAAAGGCGTGAAGGGCATAGTAAGCAACAAAATGCTTTGTAGATTCCCGAATAGGTCAACCTTTCTACCTGGTGTTGAATCCAAGGGCAGACTAGAGACAACGTGACGAACTGAAACTCTTAGTAAACAGATGACACGAAAGCAAAAGCGGTTCCCATAGTAGCGGCAAGCAAACTAGGAGTAACCTGAACCGTGAAAACGGGGTTGTGGGAGAGCAATACGAGCATCAGCTCAAGTGAGGAAAAAGACTAACTTAAACTGAAGGTTAAAGAATAAGAGTGTGAAGCTCTCAAATCTCAATACAACTATACCAAGTATACAACCCTCCCATCTCTGCGTCAACTAAGTCAAAATCTTGCTTTTTAAAAAATTTATATACCAACTAAATTACACTAGTAGCTGTGATGTCTGGAAAGGGTGAGCGAGTGACTAAGTGCCTCCCACCATTCTCCCCATCCAAAAAAGAGAAGCCCTAGCTCTGTAACAACGAAATTATGGTGGAGGCTCGGGCAGAGTGTCATCATCTATCAACAATTTATATCACTTCCAAGGAACAAAGACAGAAGGAAAAGCACACACTACACCAATGGGACTATGGGAGACATCCTCGCATCCTCTGTTCCTATTTCCTCCATCTGGGGTAACAACACAGCTGCTCAGCAAGAAAACGCAAAAGCTGAAAATTTCACTTCCATCCCACTGCATAGCATACTGCTGCTCGCACCCTTGAGGTCAGGGGGGAAACCACCAAAACGTGGCTGTTTTCCGTTGGTCAGAGGCACATAACATAAGACATCCCATCCATTCAGCACATATAGTTTTCGCCCAACCCTTGTATCCTCCCTTGGCTAATTGTAGATTTTAACTGGCTTCTCGTATGTGTGACGGTTCTGCAAAGTTCAGACAGATCGATATAAAACTGCCTCCAAGCAAAAGAGATTCAAACTAAAAATACCACTACGAAAAGATTTCACCTCTACGGCCCTAATCTTCTATTAAAAGTCTAGTTTGACAGGGACTTTTGGGATATAACTGGGAATGACACGCATAAACAGTCGCAGCTGCACAAACCTGATTTGCCGTATGAGGCCTCTTTGGTGTGGTATCCGGATGCTCTAGTCCAAGGTACTGCTCCCACGCACCATAAACATCTCTCCTCTGGGCAAAACAAGGACCAATGATTAGATTAGAATGCAGAAAAAGTAATAGAATTTCACGAGTATCTCGAGGTAAAACTGAAACTATGAGAGAGATACCTGAAACCGGGCGAATAAAACATCTGCATCGTTCAAATATTCTGGGCGACCCAGAGATAGGAAAGCAAATTTCCACTACAACAGAAAGCAAGAGAATGAGAAAGAAAGCTCTGAGCGCAAAAAAAAAAAAAAAAAAAAAAAACTTTGGGCCATTTTCTATCTCTTTGATCTAGTAAAGCTGCGTGCTTCAGACATCAGGAGACGGAAGAAGAAAAAAAAACCAAAAAGGAAGGCAAGGTATGGAGTACCTTGGCAAAGTCTTCATCAGAAACTTGCAACTTCTTTTGTATGCGCACTTTAATGTCAGCTAAGGTCTCCCCATCATGGATGACCAAGAAAAATGGTTCCCCAAAATTCTGTATTTGCTGTGTAAGACACAGAAAAAAAGATAGCAATCTCTCAACTTCCCCACTACTCCAAAAAGTTTAGGACTGGAGGTACAACTACCATCAGTAGCTTAAAATATATCAGTCTTCCATTCGTGAAAAAGTAACTTAATTCAATCTTTCATACCATTTGATTCTGTGCAGTATCCCTTGTGAAGTGATAGACATGAATCAACCGATCCTGTGGACCAATATTTTTCTCATCCTCCGGGATCTGTATGAAAAAAGTGGATTAAACTCTACCATCTCTGGTCATGCAATGTGACAATTTTCAGCAAGCTGAGAATTCCCTACAAAATGAAGGGAGAAAGAGGATTACCTCTTCTGCGCGCAATGTCCAGTATTGATCATTGATGTTCTCAATTTTTTCACTGGGTGGAAAAGTCTGTAACATAAATTATTTTGTAAGAATAACCAGAATACCCGACAGCAAACAATGCATCGAATATTATAAAAAACAACCCAAACAGCTGAGACTTATTTCTACATATCAGCTGTGATCGATACCTTGTATATCTTGTGATAGAAAACTTCAATCAGCCTAAGTTCTGCATTTGGGTGAGACAACTCGACCTGTTTAGAAGAAAGAGTAACGTTACATATAAAATAAGGCTACAACAGAATTTCCCAAAAAAATAAAGATTTACTACAGAATTGACAAAGCACAAGGTTCAGTAAACAAGTTAAATATAGAAACACCCAAAATCAATTTCCAGAAACAATCAGTCATGTAAAAAATGCTTCAAATACAAAAAGAAAGCCCTCACCTTAGTTTTAAGTTCATTAATTACATCACCAACCGTACTCTGTTTAGGCAATCTGATATTATGGATTACAACCTGAGAATAACTCTCCCAGTCAGTAAAAAAAGGCCTAAAAATCACCAAATTATGCCAAATCAGGAAACTCTGCAGCCAAACTTTATACATAACCTCCTCTTTAGTAGCATGATGGAAAGCAACTTTTAGATTCTTTAAACCTTGCAATTCCGGAAGAGGAATGTCCAGAACTTCGTAATACAAGATATCAGAGGTCTGTTATACGAAACAGCAAACCAGTGGTGACTGTTTAGTACAGTATGTGAAAACCAAGAAGATGGAGAAAGAACAATGTCTTTTTGGAGAGAGAGCAACAGCAAATTACCTGATTATAGTGGACTAACATATCTGACAAGCGATCAACTCCTCTGTACTTAATTGGTTGAGGTTTAGGCTGCTGAGAGTAGCAGTTGTGAGATGTTAATCTGATTTTTGAGGGGTCATTCAAGCCAATTTGGCGAGCCACTCGCTCCACAACATCATCATAAGTATGTAACTTTGACCTGAAAAGATTACCCAAAGATCAATATCACGTTATAAAGGATCTATTAAAGGAGAAAATTTTCAGATACTATTATAATTTATAACGAAAAAGGCAGTTGAGATCCAGTAACTCACAATTCCAGGCAGAAATCATCCTCTTTCGGTTTTTCCAGAGATCGGAAATGAACTACCTGCAAAGCATTCACAGCCCACAAAGGAACTGAGGGTTGATGTACAAACAAAAGTAGATCATGCTACACAATTTCAGTCGGAGAATTAAGGAGGTTCAAACTGGACGAAAAGAACAGGTTCAATGCAAAGAGAAATCTACTCCAAATTTCCCCTTGGCAAAGTACAGGAAGCAACATGGCTGACCTTCCACACACACGTAATCGAATCCCAAAAGGTATAAGGAACAAGGCTTAAACTGGACGAAAGGAACAAGTTCGATGCCAAGGGAAATCAACTCCAAATTTTCCCTTGACAGAGTAAAGCAAGCTATCAAGTTGACCTTCCACACACACGAAAATGAATCTAAATACCCAGGATGGAAAGGGGGAAAAAATCTTCAACAAATGGAATCGCCACGAACCATGACAGGTTCAGCATCTTTAAAAAAGTCTAGGCAGTTCTCTTGTTAAAAAATACTCAACAAAAATTGTACTGAACCCTCCAACTAACTAACACACCATCATCTGCAACTAATTGATAGAATCCATATATTAAACTTCAAAATGAAGGGTACCTGCCGATTGTGAACATATTCCAGAAACGAAGTCACATCCGGATATTGAAATTCCTCCTCGTTCTCAACAAGTGATTTCTGGAAACAGATTATATCTCCATCTTCAATCTAAGACAAGACAAGACCCAAAAGTTTAGTAACTTCACAGTCGGAAGACAAATATCAACACACAGTAACAACCTACATACCTGACTAAGCCGAAATGAGGTTCTCTTGTCAAGGCGGTCACACATTACTGAAGGCTCAAATTTTATTTCCTGAAACGAACCATAGCATCAGGTGATGCTCAAAGATGAATGATTCATCCAGGAAAAAAAAGCAAAATAAATAAATAAAAAAGAGATACGTTTGGTGCTGAATTTGAACCAAATAAGGTCCGGTGGTAAAAATTCAGCGTTAAACGAGCTGTACGAATTTCAGGATTAATGTCTAAAGTCAACTAGCCAGGACAAGGAGATCAAGACAACGAACCTCATAGAGTTCAATTTCTTCTTCAGGAGCAAAGCCAGCCATTTGATTGAGCTTTGCCAGAATTTCTATTGGTTTACTAGTGCTCTTCACAAAAAACCTACCTACATATCTGCAAGTCAATTAAAATAACAAGTTGGATATTGTCAGAACTTCACTCCTCAAAACTTTTGATGTGCAACAGGTACGGGGGATGGACAAGAACAAGACAGGAGTGAGTACCTTAATTCTCCTTTCTCAGGGTCGTAGAGCTTGAAGAAGAGAAGAATGTCTTCCTTGGTTTTGTCAGGTGGAGCAATTGGCCGTAAATCCTGCAGTTTCCATAGAGTTATTTTCTTTTAAGCAAATGTAGACTCATCCTTTTGTTTATCACACTTAATAACAAAACACCTTAAGTCTTGAAATCCAACATTACCAGCCCCAGTTCTACTTCCAGAAACAACTTTAGTTCTGCATTGTGCGTCTTATTTGACACCTCCCTCAGCTGTCCAACCTATAACCATTACCAATGATGCTTTCAGTTGAATGCTCAGTTATAAAGAAAATTTAAGGGCAGAATAAATATTCTTTGCTGCAGATAAAAATTTATCTAATTTCCCACTAGTTTATTACAGGGTCGAGAATAGGAAAGTAAACCAGTCATAAATAGAAGCCACTAGAAATGCATCTAAAACATACAAAGATGCCGTCATGTTACCTCAAAACAAACAACAGATAGACAGTTGTTTAACTAAGTACATAATACAGACACCAAACCATACAACTGCATAAATTTCCATCCCAAATACTCCGCAAAGTAATTCACTAAATTTCTAAAGCAGAACAGTACCGATTGTCCTTCCTCTTGTGACAGAAATGGCCGATTGGGACGGTATGTATGGTTTTGACGCTTTGCCCATATCCAGAACCGCTGAAATTGTACTGGTATACCAAATTCCTTGGCAACTTCCTCCTGCAACAGACACACAGAAAAATAGCAAGTATAAGAGAATAGGTTTGAGAGGCAACAAACAGGTGAAGGAAGAAATCTTTTAGAATACCTTAAACAAGCTGAATGGTGTCTGTTTCTGTATGCGGAAACTACGAACTTTATCATGGTCCACAAGGTCAAAATATAGGTCTCTACCAATCTGCTCTTTGAGATCCTCATCTCTGGCAACCTAAATGCACATGGTTCACACAGTAGGTTGTCACTGCGTGTCACAGAGAGGACGAAGAGGAGAGGAAGAAAATGAATTAAGAGGAAGACCAAACCTTTATGATGGTATAGAGGTGAGCCTGTGCTTTATATCTTTTCTTGTCTTCCTTTTCTTCTTGCTCTTTCTTCAATCTTATCTGAAATATATGGTCTTGCATGTATTAGGCGCATACAGATTGATCAACATGCTAATACAGAACCTGCGATACTGATATTTTCTACAACAAAAGCGAACATACTCTCAAGTGCTCCGCAATGTCCTTTTCATCCACATTGCAGATAATCTTGTCTCTGTCACTTTCACGTATATAGACAAGCATATACGCATTTGAGTATTTTGTGAACTTAAAAGGCGCGTTATTGAATCCTGGATTGGTCTGTGGCAGCTGCAGAACAAGAAGGATAAGGTAAGCCAACCTAATCTGGGTAATATGGATCATAGATTTGACAAAACATTACCTCTTCCTCGCCACCATACTGTTCTTCTAGTGCTCTCTTCATGTCTTCTTTTGTCACACGTTCATCATCAAATTTGTACCTAAAGGAACAAAGCCAAAATACCAGAGTGAATGCTAGTTCAACTAATTAGAATTCCAAATGTGAAAACATGTTAAACTTAGTCATGAGTACTGGATCATCCTCTCCTATTCTCAATCATTAATGCCAGTTATAAATATAAAATAATCTGTAGGGCTCCAGTGTTTAATAATTAAAATCACAGCCTAGGGAATGTTTATTAACTTATGAAACACATTTTGACCCAAAAAACTTATTAGGCACAAAACAAATGCATTTTCAAGCAATTAATATTGAAATGTTCACAGCAGAAGACTTAGTAATCTGAAAAGCATATTGTAGGGATCTATCTGCCACATACATTCCCCAGGTAAAAAAAAAAAAAGAATATTCTACCAAGAAACTATCCAGTTTCTTGCCCTATCTACTCCTATTTACCAAGTGCTTATTTCAAAGGTGCACCATTTTAAGACAACAAATATGTTATTCCATGACCTTCGGACTCGCTTCCAACATGCAACAGCACCTTAAGTGCATTATTAATGATCAGGATGGTTTATAAGTATACTAAAGTATTACTAAATCGAGGACAAATCTCACTATCCAAGACATTGGCAACAAAAAAGTCAAAAAATAAGGAAGCGAAATGGCTCCCTTGAAATGCTAGGATATTGAGGCACTTGCATAGTGTTGAGAACCAAAAAAAAAAAAACAAATTGGGAGTGTAAGAATATCCCACAATCTTGGCCATATACATACCATTGATCTGATAGAGTAGGTCTGATAAAAGCATAATAATGCCCTCCATGCACCCCTCCACTATGAACCAATACACTGTATCACAAACCAGGAGAGCACATAAGTAGAAGTACTAACAACCTACTATGAGAAGCAGATCCACCACCAAGTATTTCCAACAGAAACCACATCAGAAACACTTGATAATCGCACCTATGAAGAGTGTACAGATTACGAACACTCCTGTCAGCATCTGGCGACAAATATTTGCCATCTTCTCTATCAAGATCAAGTTGAAGAGGAAATTCATACCGATCATTGATCTGCAGTACACAATTCACATGCACCAACAGAATCAGGCTTATAAAGCATATGTTAGATACCCAATAAAACATGCACCATAGAAATCAGTTCTTCAAGGAACACCAAAGCCTGTAAGATGCTTATGTTGTACATCAAATGAAAATACTCACCTTTACCATGGTGTCCCGCAAAAAATCATACTCAAAGCGTTTTAGTTGCAGTTGAAGAACAGGCGGGAAGTCAACAAATAGGACACCTTTCTTTGCATCCTGAAACACCAAGCACAGACTATCATGAGCACGCACTGTCCTTTGAGATCATTGGAGTGATTAACTTGGGGAAGGCAGTTATTATATATATATATAATGAACCATCCTCGCTTCCTATATAGCAGAAAAAAAAAAACAGATCAAATCTTTGTGGGTGGGTAGGGGGACTCCCCGGTAATGCACTGGTCTGCTATGGATGGCTGTAGACCAGGCCACGAATATATTTTAAAAGTGCCAAACCCGAAACTGGGTACAAGAGTGTAGAAATCCCAAAGTGACAGACCCGAAAAGGGGTACAAGAGGGTCGGTACTCGGTATCCCAACATAGAAAAGTGCCCAGCCCGAAAAAGGGTAACATTAGAAGCCAAACTGGATATCCTTGAAGCATTTATCATTCAAATGAGCCAGTGGCATAGGTTTGAAAACACCCATTGATGGTGCCTACATCTGTACTGAGATCAGTCAGTCTTACATCCGGATTTCTGAAATAGAGTTAATCCCAGACACACACAATGATTGACTAACCTGTAGACCATGTTCTTCAGCATGGTACTTGTTGTCACCCTCAAGTTGTTCAACTTCCACATACTTGTCAAAAGATGCATAAACATCCTTGCAGCCTTTTACATCAAGCTGCAGATCTGCCATGTAATGTGCATTTCAGCATCCTACAGTCAGAGTGCTAGACAGAATATTGACATGCCAAGAAAATGGTAGTACCATAAAAGGACTCCTTCCTTGTAGATTTGTAGTCCACATTCACGCACTCAATGTAGTTCATATGGTGACCCTCAAATAGCTTCTGGATTGTGCCCTCCACGACAGTTCCCTGATCCCATGGAAGATCATGATAACAACAATAATGATAAGTACCCACAACTAATAACATATGCAAATCCCCCAACAAGAAAAGACATACAAGATGTATTAGATTTTGTTACCTTCATTTTATCTTCCAACTTCTCACATAATACTCTATTGAGTTCTTGGACATCATGCTGCATGAAAGAATCATAAGTATCCCATCCAAATGATTTTGTCAATTCCTTGGTTGCAACACTGGTATCATTATATTGAAGCTTATAGAACAGACTCTGCAGAGCCAAAGGAATGCTTCCGGTAGGCATGTCATTCTCAGTTGTTGGCATGTGGTATACAGCCTACAAATTATTTCAAAATAGCATCATTCAAACTGTAGAATAATAATTGACATTCAAATCCGGCAGCGTGAAAATTGCAATGGTAACAACCTTTCTAAAGTATGGAATATGGTACAAGGTTTGTAGAAGGGAGTTCATGTAACACGTTGCTCCCTGATTCTTTAGACCTACATAACCTGTTTCTTTCTTAGAGTCATAAGACCAATAATCCAGAACCTTCCGAACAACAACTTCAGCTTCAATAAGTACAGTATCATTCACAAGATATCCCCTACTAGGATCATAAAGATCACTGAGGGGCATAAATGATGTGAAACCCCAGTCACTCTCCCTTCCATTGAACTGGTGTTGAGTATCTGGGGAAAACAAAGAAGTAAGCATTTTAGAAACTACTCATTCAATAAATTGCTCAAGTCCACCACGTGACTCTTAAATCAACAAAGATAGGGCCAGATGGTGAAGTACAATAAGTGCCAAGAGCACAGAATGGAAGTTACAAAATATCTGAGCAGTTAGGAGGAGATATAGTACCATGCTTGAACTTCCATTCCCAGCAGGCAATAATCAATGAACAGAATACCAAATAATTACTTGTGACTAGTCCTAAATTCATCCCATGCACACGGTTGCCACGTTTCAGCACAATATCAAGCAAAAACCAAGGCACTGTCTATCAGAACCAGAAACGTACCTTTTCTGATTGAGTACTTGTTGTGAATTTGATTCACCACAGCCAAGCTGAATTGTGCATAGCGACTCCAGCCATAGGGCAATGTAGAAGAATCTGCAACATCCAAATACATCGACAGGTGGTCGACATTATTTCCCTTGGGAAAGACGAGAATCCGCCTGCCAAATCAGTTTTAGAAGAAAAATGAAAAAAAATAGACACAATGAGAACTAGGTTATCCCAATCACATAAACAAGTAAATTAACAAGTTCAGCTGCAGAGATAAGAGGGATTTTAACCCAAGTACCATTTGTAACCGCCAACAACGAATGTATCAGAATAGTGTTTCTTCGTGTTCAACCTTGTGAAATTCTCAATTGTCCACGTGAATTTGAGTGACGGAGGAGGTTCCTCCACTGGCTGATTCTCCACTGTATTAGCAGCAGGCTCCACTGTTGCCACTATTACGAGGGAAAGACAACAAATTTCAAGCCCTAACGCCGGCAACTAACTAACCAAGGCAAACTACCGATCCATATGATGAAAATACTAAGCAAGTCAACAAGCCAAAACGATTGAACGAAGAAATTCAACTTCCTAACCTTCCATTGGCTGAGGACCTTCGACTAAATCTGAATGCGGCACTAGCATCTCCTCGTCTTCTTGCTACGAATCCAAAGAAGGAAAGACAAAGCACCAAGTCAAAGCAGCGATCAAGCAAAACGAAGAAAGCAACAAAAAAAAAAAAAAAACCCCAACCCTACGATGCCGAATCAAAACCCTAACCATGCACAAGACGCTGATAAAACCAAATTAAATCTCCCAAGTGAAAACCAAAAGCATGCTCCAAATTCAGAGCTTCGCTCTACGGGAAATTAAACAGGAAAAGACGCTAGACGATCACGAGAAATCTTTAGAAGGAATTAGGAGAAAGCTACAGCTTGCTAGCATATGAACAGTTTGCATCAATCAAATGCTGAGAATGACGGTGGATGGCGCTTACATCCAGCGGCGGAGGAGTCATCATAGTCATGAGTAACGGTGAAGGATGAAGCAATAGGAAAGGCAGTTCCGGCTCGATCGAATGAATCCGGTAGCTGAAGCGCGAATCGAGAAGAGAAGGAGAAATTTGAGAGAGACGGGAAGAGAGGCGAAGACGTGAGGACGAGTTGTTAAGAAGAGAAGAGACACTCCCGAGCGAGGATGGGAACTGGGCTCGCGAAAGAAAGCAGAACCCAAAAGACAAAAAAAGAAAAAGCGATGATGAGTTTTTGTGAGTTTCTCTACAAAATAGTGATCTGACTCATAAATCATAATAAAAAAAATTAGGATTTTGCTATAGTGACTTGCACAAATAGGTTGACCACAAAGTAATAAAGGTCGACCGAATCTATTGTTTCTGCTTTGTTACATTCAACAAAGTCGTCGACCTTAAACATGAAATGGTTGGCCTCTTTGGCAAGCAAACAATAAAAAAGGTCGACCTCAATCTTAAAACAGTCGACCTTCTACATTAAATGGTATACCTCATTCTTAAAAGGATCGAGCTCTATTGCATTACCTTTTCAACATCGTACTCGGAATTATCTAGGGGTGGACAACAAGAAATGGGTATTTGGGTATCCCCATACCCATCCTTTTTTTAGGGGTACAGTACCCAAATATCCGTAATATTTATTACGAGATACGACTTGAAATTAAGAATTTTAATATGTTAGTGATTAAACTGTTAAGAAGTTATGGTTTCTTGCTTTTATAATTATGGATGAAATTTGTTGGTTTCTATCATAATCTCTTAGACTCAACAATGTATAGACATCGACAAACATAATCACACAATTCAAAGATCGCAGACTTATTTTACTGTAAGCGGTCGACCTTTTACTATAAGCGCTCCACCGCAAAATCAACATTTCCCTCTACGTTTTACTTCATAAGGGAAGGATTGATGTATTGTCGACTCTTCTTCTATCTAGAGCTCTCCTTCAACTAATGCTATGTCAGAGATCACGTCAAATGAAGATATACTCGCCATGTCAACAACTGCAAATGAAGAAGCGAGGGTCATCGAACTATATGCCATCTCTGAGGAAGACATTGCCGAGTTCATGGACAGTGATGAGGACGAAGATGGAGCTTCCACCAAGGGTAAAGAGGGTAAAGAAGCTGTTGTTCGTGACTCGGGTGATGATGCAGACTATGAGGAAGAAGATGACATTGACTATGATGCTAGTGAAGAGGAGGAGGACTTTAGCAGAATTGACAATATGCAGTTTGAGAGAAGCGTAGTTGCAAATGTTGAAGCTGATTTCTACACCGAAGAAGACGAAATTGAGAAGTGCAAGAAGACTATCATAGAGGCATAAGAGGGTGGATCGAGGGGTTTCCTGCTCCTCAAATCCCAACCGAGGACCAGCCGGATGTTCTTGCATATGAGGCCACTGAGGATGCCCACCCCGAGGCTGTGGATGATGCTGATGGCCCCGCCCGACCACCTTCAAGTACGGGGGTAGCAGTTCCACTTTCCCATCCCAAGACTACTTCACTCACCAATTCCAAAAGCTGAGCCTCTAGAATCAGCAACTCCTCGACCATCATCTCCAGTTCCAGTAGCAGTACTCGGCTCACCAGGCCGAGTATCAGACCCGGATGGCTGCCTATGATGCGTGCATTGACCGTATGGAGACCCAGCAGGGGGTGACCCTTGCTCACATAGAGCGGGAGCGGGCCCGCTCTCGGCGTATGCAGGAAGTCCAGCAGCACCTGCTCCAGCTGATACCGGGCGAGCAGCTAGTCTGGAGGACTCCCTGGGAGGACTCTCCCCTTCCACCCCCGGCCGCAGGAGATGATGCCTTCATGAACGACATCGACTTTGACAACCTTGGCGATGAGTAGTCTGTACTCGTCGCCCCTCCAGAGTGTGTTTTGTTTAAGACTTTTCGTGTTTGCTCCATGTGTGTGCGGAGCTTGAACTGAGTCTGTCGTTTGTTTTTGTTTTTTTTTCTTGTGGATTGTCTCTTTTGTGGCCATCTGGGCTAACTCTGATCCCTAACGCACAGTGTGCTAGTGTGTTCTTGATGTTCCCTTCGTGCAGAACTGTTTCGTTCGTTCCATATGTTCCCCGCTGACTGGTCCACTTCTAGTCTCCCGGCAGTAATTCCATCCGGTAACATCGTTCCCCTTATCTCTCCCTCTGCTCCATTGAGGGCAATGTCGTGCTTAAGTGTGTGTGTGTGTGTGGGGGGGGGGTGCTTTGTATCGATTGGAATCTATATATGTGTGCTTGGGGCCTAGTCCGCTGTCCAAATCTTGAGATTTGAGGGGTTCATGTATCCCTGCTTGCATGATCATATTGGCACTGTGATTTGATTGGTGAATCAAATGGTTTTCGGATTATTGCATGACAACTTGATTGTAACTAGGACAAACTATGAGGATGACTGAGACGTGCAATAGAATTGTGGAGGGGTTCAGTTTTTCAATTGTTTGCTTACCAACTGTGACTTGGATTGATCACTTGCTCTTGACAGTCGTTTATGCATCTAGTTTAGGGAATCATAATGAGAGATAGAGCATATAGGTAGCCATGTGAGATTTGAGCCTGCTCGTTTCTTTCTTGTGCGATAGTTCCCTCTTCCATGATGTGTAGCATTCACGTTGTCATTAGCTAAGATGATGGAGGCATAGGATTATCCCACGACCAAATTGACTGTCCTGGTGTGTCATACCCCCTAGTCAGCCCCTTTGAGCCGTGTCACTTTCTTTCTTTCGGTTTATAATGGAAAATCACCCTTTTGCATCTCTTAGAAGGTTCCATGGAGTGGTTTTTGCATGTTCTCTGCTGTTTCTGTTAAAAATAACGTGAGGGTTGGAGGTAGTTCTTAAAAAAGTTGGGCATGTGTTTGAAAAATGTGCAGAGGTGGTGGTTCTCTCAAGAAATGAAAAAAAGAAGAAAAAAATGGATGAAAGCTAAAGAGTGCCACTACCAAAAATCTGAATCATGCTCATTAAGTAGTGTTTCTTAGCAGTCTGGCTTGGAAATACTAACATTTATGTGACCTCCTTTGCTCTTGTGTTGGGTTTGGAATTGTGGAACCTTGTGCTATGAATACTTCCACCACCTAAAAGGCCATTTCCCCATGTCCAAGACCCTAGTCAGTCATCTAAACCTGTGTCTAAGACCTCCGGATTAGTTAGTGGTGACACCCTTATGTGAACTCTAACATTTAGAGGCTGCCTTCATGGTGAAGAGACGTTAGGGATTGAGAGAATAAGCATGCACATTTTTCGCATCAAATTGTCCTGACCTCACTGGTCGAGAGTGAGCGATTCATTTTCTCATTTTCTCTATACTCTTTTACCCCGGTGAGGACCTAGATTGCTCGGTCTCAATTCTGATATCTTGAGTTTTGTGCATGAGGTGACTATCTTGAGTAAGTGGTTGAGTCAAGTCTATGTTGGTTGATGAACAGAAGGGAGACTCCTCCTTTACTCGATTTTGCTGCACTCGAATGTCCTCTGTGGTGGTTTTCCAGGTTGCTGTTGAAGTTGTTCATGTGTTGATGTTTCAAAGCCAGTACAATTCAAGTGTTCTGTGCCTATATGAATTGTCCCCAATGTTGGTATGATTGAAATATGCTGAGCTTACCTCGTATCTGACTTGGTTTGCTTGGGGACAAGCAAACGGTTAATTGTGGGGTCGATTGGACGAAGATTGGACGTTTGGCGAGAAGCTGAGGAAGCCACACGGGCACGCCTAAAAACCCACACGGTCGTGTGGCACCAAATTGCACGGGCAAGCCACACTGCCGTGTAGGGGACCCCTTGTGGCCGTGTGGAAAGTCTAGGGAGCTCACACGGGCAGCCTGGAAATCCACACGGCCGTGTGGTTTTGGCCGTGCAGCATACCTGAAGCCACTTAAGTGAAACACGGCGTTTTGCACACTCACACGGGCAGCTGGGAAAGCCACACGGCCGTGTGGTCGGGAATTTCTGCGTTTTAACCCAATTTCGAGCCAAAGGAGAGATAATCGACTTTTTGGAGAAAAAAATAGAGCCCTAGAGAGAGAAAGTGCGAAGAACACCCCCTAAGAGTGGTTTTGGAGCTGGGTTTCATCAATCATGCTTGGAAATCATCCTTGGAGTGAAGATCATCATCCCAGAGCAGATTCTTCCCATTGTTATGAGTATGACTGCTTTGTATTCTGTTTCCCCCTCTCTCTCTATGGAGTAGAACTTTCTCTCACTTGGGTATGAAGAACCCTAGTTCCATGTGTTAGGGATCTGGATTGTAATGACTTGGGATTGTTATAATGTTTGATTATAATCGAATGATGCATGATTCATTGAATCAATTGAAGTCTGATCATCTTTTTTTGATTTCTGCTGCAACCTAAGATAGATAGAATCTAATTAGGTTGTTAGAGCTTCATCATTCGGTAGTGGTAGATTGGTTATACGAGAGTTAATCAATCTATTGCTTTGTACTGGAACCCAATTCCAGTAGTGGAGTTCTGTGCTTATTGCCTCAGCAGTCTATCCTGGGGAAGGTTAGTCGCCTGCCAGTTAGCCTGTCTGAGAGGGCTTGGTCAGCTTAAGAGATTCCAAGCTACTGTCGAATCTTCCGCAGTTTAATCAACAATAAATCAACTCAGGGTAATTACAACTGAGACCTAACTAAGTAGCTAGGGGGATTCATTCCCGAGTGACTCTCCCTTTGCTTTAGAAAACCGAACCATTTCATGCTTTCTTACTGCTTTTGGTTAAAACCACAATCAATCAACTTAGTTTGCTAGATAACAAATATACACGGAGTAGGCAGTAGATCTAGACCCCGGGTTGACAAATATAGCTGACTGTGATTTTTTGGTAGCCACGTCGTCACTTAACGGTCATCATTAACGGAGTCTAATGGAGGTTAACGGGGAGTGACCGAACTTGGACTGTTCAACTAATTTAAGTGACTATAAATGGAATAAATTAGTTTGAGTGGCAAACGTGAAATTTTATAGCAATTCGAGTGACCAAACTTGC